GACTGCACCCCATAAACACAATTAAGCCTAGAAAAAAACAGTGAACCACCCCTTTAAGTCAATGGCTACCGTCAACTGTTTGGCATTCTTCAAAATATCTTCTTTTTTTTCAGCAAAAGAAAAAAAATACTGGTTTCAAGAACTTGAGGGTGAGTAAACGATGAAAGAATGACAAGAGTAAAACATGATGAAAGAAATTAATTTTGGGTGAACTATCCCTTCACAATCTTGTACCTTGGTCTTTTTGTCATATTTTCAAATATTGTTTTGCTTCAAATAAAATATGTAATGTTGTGATTCACTTCGTAGCTGGTTGGCTTGGTTCATGGCTTATAATGCTTTAACAAAGACTTTTTTTTTTAAATCCCTATAGGAAAAATTAATGGAAAAAATACTTCCGGAATCAACGCCATAGAAAAGTGGGCACTAATGCATTCTCTGTTGTAGGCTGCTTATGGGGAGTGGGAACATGCTTATAAACATTTTTTATTTTAAACCCTGTCACACGGTTCTACTCTATTCCATAGCAACCTTTCTTCTCCCAACTTGTTTTCAGATCTCAGCACTAATTCCTGTGGTGACGTAGACACTGACTCAGCAAGCTGCACCTTCAAAGCCTGTACAAAAATCCTGTGAAGCCAGACTCTTAAATGTGCCCATTACATCTACCATCATTCCCCAACCATGATAGATGGCATCTAAAAATTCACAAAAATGTTTAATAAAATATTTACGACTCTAAAACCAACCAGTGCACATGCTCAGAGAGAATCATAGCCCCTGGTGCTTTTAGAGGCCAGACTGTAGCTGCTCTCTCCTGTAATACGCTCAGTGCATTGGGAGTGTGGAAATGAAGATCTGGACATTAATGGAGGGGGGAGGGGATGGGCAGACGGGAGAGGTCACTCACCAAACACATCCTCTTCTGCCTCGGCCAGCGGAGTGGAGGACATCTTCAATCTGAAAGAGTGAAACTTTACAATTTAAATGCATATGGACAAGAAAACATTTCTTGGCCACAAACAGAGCAGTGGCAGTCTGTGCTTTTCAAGTGGGGAAGCACAGATGTCACTGATCAATTGAAAAGTGCTCAAATTTGTTATTTTTGTGTGTGCAATGCTGATTCTAAAATCTGCTCCTCAAACTACCACTAAATGAAATTAACTGAAAATAATTGACCAAGCTCAGTACTTTTTTTAATGTACTGTACTGTAATGTAATGTAATGTAAAATTTCTGAATTATTGTAGTTGAATTATAGGGAAACCAAGTGCTATTTTATGTGTAGTATTTTATATTACATACTCTAGTTCTGGTAAATTCACATAAACAAACTCTTTTAGTAGGGGCACAAAACACACACACA